TACAGGGAGACCAGACAATAATGAATTACAGCTGTCTAGCGAGAAGATATGAAAGCATGTACCAACTTTTCAGTATCAGATTGGGATAATGATTTACGAATACGATTAATATTTCTTAGATGGGAATATCCAGATCTACAAATAGTAGAAATGTGTGTTTCCATAGATAGCTGCGAATCAAACAAGACACCTAAGTTTCTAGCACTTGACGAAGCACTAACCAATTCTTCACCAATTGCGATACTAGACAAAGGACACGAGTCTTGTGAGAATCTCCGAGACGACATGCACACAAATTCAGTTTTCGACACATTCAAAAGTAGGAAATTACAAGACATCCAATCGCTAACATCTTGAATACATGTCTGAAGTATCACCCGGGCGCGAATTTGATCATCTTCAGAAACCGATAAATAAATCTGTGTGTCATCGGCGTAAAAATGATATTTTACGCCGTGACGTCGCAATAACTCGCCCAATGGACGCATGTACATTGAGAACAATAATGGCCCTAAGACGGAGCCCTGTGGAACACCGGTTACTAATATAGACGTCATATCAGAAAATACATTTCCAATTTTCACTTTTTGAATGCGGTTACTCAAATAATCTTACCTTCTTTGGATAAGTGGTTTCACCCCTCAGACAAATGGATGACATTAAATTATGGTCAAAAAATTTGATTCTCTGAGAAAAAAAATATCAAGAATATAGTTATCAAATTGACTTGAACATCATAGCTTTAATGATGCTCAGTTTAAATCACAAAGTTTAACTTAATTTAGAGCTATTAGTGATATAGAATAACAAATATTTCACAACTTGTAGTCTTCAGCTGGAAAAGTGGTAACAAAATTTACCACATACATGTGGAGCCTGGACATGTATAGGATATAAAACTAAACATGAAATTATGAATAAGAACTCAAATGAAAACAAATGGTGTTCAAAATAAAGTTTGAACTCCTCTGCCATCTAATAATTTTTTTAAGAGTGAGGTTATCTTCAGTTGTCCAGAAGAGAAATTGTTGAGCTATGCATAGCAATAATGTACATTAATGTACAAGAGAAGCTTTAACAAACAAACCAATGCCATTAATCCTGAAATTTAGTTTTTCAGATTTTTAAATTTGCCAAGACACCTATAGGTTGAACACATCTTTCTGAAAAAAAACCTATATAGTATAATGTCCCCTATTGTATTAACAATTTAAACAAGATTTAATTTAGCTTTTATAATATTATCATTTCTATTTTTTAATTATATTATCTAGCACATGATAACTGTACAGCATGCTATAGTGTACACAAATTATTTCTTATCTAATTACAATGATGTACATGTGACACAGACTCAGTGAAGTAATTAATATAACTTTAAATTAATATAACTTTAAGTTACCTCTCTTTTTTGAGTGGCAGGATAGACAGCAGAATTGACAATATCATCAGAAAGTTCATTCCCATTCTTGAGATTCCTAAAACTGGATTCTAGTATCAAATACGGTTCTATCTTACATACAGTTGAATCTGCTGTTTTCTCAGTAGGTGCTGAAAAAATACCAGGTATAATGAAAGTAATAAAGATTCGGAAATGTACTGATCTGTGACAGTGTGTGCAAACACAGACGCTGTTCATGAAGAATAACGTAATGTAATAGTTTCATAGTTGGATTTTATTTCCCCTTTATAAAAAACAAGCCATGCATGGCACAGTCCCAGTTAGTTATCAAACTTAAGATGTATAATTTTGTTTATAGTAATATAGTTGGAACATAAACATGTCAGAGATATGGATCCAGAAGCTGATGCTTAATTATGATTTTTTTAACACTGAAATGATTGACATTCAGCCACCTTGTTTCTAATCGTCAATCCATCCATAAATTCTTGATTTTCCAGTATTATAACTCTCACATACCTTCAGGAGTCTTGATATCAATCAGCACTGATTCTTCATCATCTGAAACCTCTGAAATAAACACACATATTGATGAAGCATACAATAGTAATGAGAAATTAATTTTTTTTTTGATGTAAGAACATCCATTTTTGTTTAGGCATAAATGTGATTTACGATAAAGTTAACAATTTTAGAATAACATTTAAAAATTTCAAAACTGCAGTTGAAAACCATTTTGCCAACCACAGGAACTGTGGCTTTGGCATAAATACAATTTCGAAATGACTTCATCCAATCAGAAATTACTTTCACGAATATAGGGCGGTAAAAAAGAACATACCATCACCACATTCATTGAAAATATTCTGGCATACATGTACGTTAAAGTAAATCCATACTTACCATTCAAGTCAATCTCTATGTCATCAAGTGATTTGTTCTTGTACTTTTCCACAGATCCTCTTTCACAAGCAAGTATAATTCTGCTGACTTTAGCGATCTGCAGGGTGTCTTGTGGGAGCCTATAAAACTTCCTATGAACTCTGATGTAATGACCCAAAAAACCAGCCAAAATTTCCTGTCCATTGTCTTTCAAGTGAAAAGTTGA